GAGTATTTTTTATCTGTTGGCTGCTCATATATCTTCCTTTGAGAAGTGTCTTAATGTATTTTGCCCATTTTAATGGGGCTGTTTTTTTTTTTTCCTTTTGGCACATTTGAGTTCCTTATAGATCCTGGGTGTTAGCCCTCTTTCAGAAATATAGTTGGCAAATATTTTTTCCCATTCTGTGGGCTGTCTCCCCACTTTTTTGATGGTTTCTTTTGCTTTGCAGAAGCTTTCCAGTTTGATGAGGTCTCACATGCTTATCTTATCTCTTATGGCATGAACATTTGGAGTTTTGATCAAGAATTGGTTGCGTTTTTCAATTTCTGGAGGGCGTCTCCTGCGGTTTCTAAGATTCTTAAAATTTGAGGTTTTTCATTTAGTTCTTTGATTCATTTGGAGTTGATTTTTGTGTATGGTGACAGGTAGGGGTCTTGTTTCTTTCTTCTGCATGTGGTCAGCCAGTTTTCCCAGCACCATTTATTGAGTAGGTTCTCTTCCCAGTGGCTGTTGGTGGAGATGTTGTTGAAGATGAGTTGGTTAAGCAATTGAGATTTTGCTTCTGGAATCTCTATCCTGTTCCATCAGTCTATATGCCTGTTCTTGTACTGATACCAGGTTGTTTTGATTATTGTAGCCTTATAACCAAGTTTCAAGTCTGGGAGTGTGATACTTCCCACCTTGTTTCTTTTGTTGAGGATAGTGTTGACTATTCATGATTGTTTTCTTTTCATATGAATTTCTGTATTGTTGTTTACAGGTCTAAGAAGAATGATGATGGTAATTTAATGGGTATTGCATTGAATCTGTAGATTGCCTTGGGTAGAATGGAAATCTTAACAATGTTGATTCTTTCAGTCTATGAGCATGGAATATTTTTCCATTTGTTTGTGTCTTCTTTGATTTAAAAAAAAATTTATTTTAAAGATGCAGGATACAATTCAGAATTAGTTATACAAATGTTCATTATGCAAGTACCTTGGTTGATGAGATGCGCCCCCCCACACCCATCTTCTTTGATTTCTTTGAGCAGTCTAGGGGGCACTTTAAGCCCATTGTTTTTTCACTGATTTCCCATCTGGATGATCTGTCCATTGTTGAAAGTGAAGTATTGAGATCTCTTATTATTATTGTATAGCAATCTGTTTCTCCCTTCATTTCTATTAATATTTACTTTGGCTAGATGCGTTGGCTCACATCTGTAATCCCAGCACTTCGGGAACCTTAGATAAAAGGATTGCCTGAGCCACAGGTTTGGGAACAACCTGGGCTTGGTGAGTCCTCATCTCTACAATACATCAAAAAAAATTAGCCGAGAATAGTGGCGCATGCTTGTAGTTCCAGCTACTTGGAAGGCTGATGCAGAAGGATCACCTGAGCCCAGCAGGTCGAGGCTGTGGTGGCCATGAGTGTGCCACTGCACTCCAGCCTAGGCAACAGAGTGAGACTCCAACTAAAAAAAAAATTTATGTGCTCAAATGTTGGGTGCATTTATGTTTATATTTTTGTATCCTCTTGCTAAATTGACCCCTTTATTATTATGTAATGATAGTCTGTGTTTCTTTTTTATGTTCTTACCTAATGTCTGTTTTATTAGATATAAATATTGCTACCTTTATTCTCTTTTGGTTGGCATTTGAATGGAGTATCTTTTCCAGTCCCTTAACTTTCACTGAATGTATGTCCTTAAAGGTGAAGTGAGTCTTTTATAGGCAATGTGATATTTGATCCTGTTTTTTAGTCTATTCAGCCATTTTATTTATCCATTTATTATTAATATTTTTTCAGTTGCATTTTCACTCTTTTGCCAAAGCTGGAGTGCAGTGGCATGATCAGGCTCACCATAGCCTTGACCTTCTGAGCTCAGGTGATCCTTCCTCCTCAGCCTCCCAAGTTGCTGGGACTATAGGCACATACCACCACACCTGACTTAAATTTTTTTGTAGAGATGAGGTCTCACTATATTGCCCAGGCTGATCCTGAGCTCCTGGACTCAAGCAATTCTTCTGCCTCGGACTCCCAAAGTACTGGGATTACAGGCGTAAGCCACGATGCCCAGCCTTTCCTCCTTTTTTGAACTTCTATATTCTTAATGTTACCTCTCTTGATGATGTTTCCTAAATCTTACAGGCTTTCTTCTTTCCTTTTCATCTGTTTTTTTTTCTTCCTGTGATTGTATATTTCTAATACTCTGTTTTTGAATTTACATTTTCTGCTTGGTCAGTTCTCCTTTGGATTCTCTCCATTGCGTTTTTCATGTAATTCATTGAATTTCTCATCTCAAGAAATTTTTTATGATTTTAATCCCCGTTACATTTCTCATTTTGTTCATTTATTGTTTTTCTGATTTTTAAAAATCGTTTTTCTCTCTCTTTTTTTTCCAAGTTCACTGAGCTTCCAGAAAGTTATTTTGAATTCTTTGTCAGTCAGATTATAGATGTCCCATTTTAGGGGGATCAGCTACTGGGAAATTATTATGTTCTTTTGGTGGTGATGTATCTCCTTTGTTTTCGTTTTTCTTGTTGCCATACTTTGATGTATGTGCATTTGGTGGCGCAGTCTCCTATTTCCTATTTTACCTTCTGGTCTTGGTGTGGAAAGACCTTCTGTGGGAGGGTCAAGGGTACTGGCTGAGTGAGATACAACTGTTCTGTCTCCAGTGAAGTTATAGCAATATAGTCTCAGAACTTCTCCGTTAACTGTGTTTGGTATTAGTGAAGATTGCAGGTATCATCATTTGCCAACTCTGTGGGTGTTCTCAGTAGCACTGAGGGTTGTTGAAGTCCTTAGTGATAATGGCAGCTATGATCTTCCAATTTCTTTTTTTCCCACCAGGAAAGTCATGGCTGAGAGGATCCTTCTTGGCATGAGGTCTGGTTTGTGAGCCTGGTTGTGGTGGTCCAGTGTCTGATGAGTAGAACTTATGGAGAGACCACAGAACCAAGGCCTGAAGCAAGGGTATAAGTGGCGGGACAATGACTCTGAGGTTTGGATAGTAATGTCACCAGTTCCTGGGCACATGCACTTTCACTGCTGTGTTCGGGATGGTATGTGAGGCATTGGTACTCATGAAACAACTGGGGAGCCAGTGATGGATGCCCAAGTTACTTTGTCTCTGCTATACAGAGTGGGTCCTAGCTCTCTATGGCAGCTGAGTTAATGACTAGAAAACAGGGACACTCAGAGAGACTGTGGCTCCAGGACCTGGGGTATGAACTAGCTTACTGTAGTAGCTCTAGTGTCTTAGGTATGAATGGGCACAGTGCAGCCACAGGGCCAGTTCTTCATGGATGGTAGCACATTCAAGAAGTGGTTTTAAGCCGGGGTCGGTGGCTCAGCCTGTAGTCCCGTGCCTTTGGGAGGCTGAGGTGAGTGGATTGCCTAAGCCCGCGGGTTTGAGACCCGCCTGGGCAGCAAGACCTCATTTTTACAATAAATTAAAAAATCAACCGGGCGTGGTAGCACATGCCTGTAATTCCAGCTACTTGGAAGGCTGAGGCGGAAGGATCGCCGGAGCCCAGCAGGTTGAGGCTGCGGTGGCCGGGAGTGGTTACTGTACTCCAGTCTGGGCGACAGAGTGAGACTCCAACTCAAAAAAAAAAAAAAAAAAAAAAAGAAGTGGTTTTGAGTTGGGGGTAAGGGACATGCATGAGGTTGGAAGGTTTTGTTCCTGGGATGGCACAACAGTGACTGTTTCTTGAGCAGAGGAGTTTGCAGCCATGCTTTTCTCTCTGGGGTTCCCTAGTGGGAATGGCTGTTAGTTACCTCAATGCAAAAACTGTCTGTCTTCTGTGGAACAGTCTGCTGGGGGCCACAGTACCTTTGCTGCATGGTTGACACCAATAGCCTCTTGCCTTTCTTTTTGTTCCTAGCCATCTGTAGGCATCTTAGGTATGCTGATATAACCAGTCATCCTTTTTGTGTTGCTTGCAGTTTCTTAAATGGGCCCTTGAGCTCTCATAAACCTTCATTAGTCTGTGGATAGCTGTTTATATTTCATTTTTTTGTGGAGGAATGAAGGCTGGTATCTCTTACTTCACCATTTTAGTGACATCTTTTACCCCCATGAAGACATTTGATATTTTATTTTGTCTGCCGTGTTGCCTGTAAATTGGTAGTTGGATCTAAAGGTAGGAGAGTCAAGATTATTTTGACCAGAGTCTTCATGGATGGTAGCATAGATTTTCAGCAGGGGGCACATAGTACCTGCTTGTTTCTTTGTGTGTGATAGTAATAGCCATATTCGGTGTTAAGATCTAATAATTTATTACAGGCTGTAAAATGTTGATACTCTATTTCTTTAAAGCTTTTTTCCATTTTTGTTGGGAATATTTCTATATAGGAAACCTTCTTCTTCTTAACTAGTAGTGATTATGTGGTGTGGTTTGACTAGGATTGGCAGGATAAAATTCTTAGTTCTTTCTCTTTGTTGCTAATCTTAAAAATATTAAAAATAAATACAGTTTGAATTAGAGTGGTTTCTTTAGGTTCCTCCTCTAGTTATTATTTGTTTTTGTTTTGTTTTGTTTTTAAGTGTCTATATGAACTCATATCTTTAAAAGTTATATTTGATGTGTTTTACTCCATTGGAATTATTATCTATTTTGATACTCAAATATTTTTGTCTCTGACCATTTTGTCTTTCAGGAGTCTTTTAAAGCTAGCTTTCAAGTCCTTTTCATACAAACCTACTATGTTACTGATAGTGTCTTTACTATCTGCTGTGACAAAATATTCTGTTGTCATCTTGTGCCCGTTCTGTGTCACATCTGGAATCAGCCTTTAGAAGAAAGGAAATCAGTTGATTCCAGAGTTTTACTGGGAGGCAGAAATTTTGCCACTTGGAAGCTACTCTGAAAATAAAAGCTACAGTTCATATATGGGCTTTATATATGACTAGTGACATAAAAAATACTTATCACTCAACTAAGCTCCCTATTTCAAATGTTAAGTGTTAATTTTCCCTTCTGGTTACAAAGGTGATTTTTTTCCTCTTTTCTCTGTAGGCTTTGCCAGTCAGTCAGAAGATGATCAGGTGAATGTAATGGGTTTTCGCTTCTTAGGAGGTTTCCAAGTTACTCTTCTTGCTTCCAAAACTTCTCGTAAGTAAAACCATGTTATTATTGCTTTAACATTTTATTTTCTGAGGACACCACATCACAGGATATTCTCACATCAATGGTTCCTGCAAAGGGCAATGCTCAGTCATATATCAAAAGCTAAGGGCAATGATATTAAACATATAGGATGTACAAGTTATGAAGATAGGATTTTATTTTACTATATGTAATTTTCATCTTGGGGATGAGCAGAGTCTGAGATAGGAATTTAAAGAAAGGAAAAAGTGATTTTGAGATAGGTATATGGTGAATTTGGTTTTGGCAACACCTAGATACTTGAACTGATTTTCTTTGCATATATTCTTGTTTTCTTCTTTTAGACATTGACAAACATAAAGATGAAAATGGATGACTTTTGCTGAGACTAATCTCAGTAGGCAGAAATGTAGTGATTATATACTCGAGTTTGAATTTCAGATTTAAATATGCTTTATTTGGTTGCTTCATACTCATGAGAATAGTTGAAATTAGTCAATGTAAAACTGCTTCTGTTATATGTAGCATATCAAAGGTACTGAACTCACTACTTTATATACACCTTCATGGAAATAAAATAAGATATTAAGAAATGAAGTGTATAACAAATTTGTATTGAGGGAAACGTGTGCATTCTCTCTCTCTTTCATTGAAGTACATTGGCTTAGTACATTCCTATTATTATTATTATTATTATTTTGAGTTGGAGTCTCACTCCATCGCCTAGACTGGAGTGCAGTGACATGCTCACGGTCACTCCAGCGTCGACCTGCTGGGCTCAGGCCATCCTTCCTGAACTATAGGCACGAGTAGGCACAAGTAGCTGGAACTACAGGCGCGAGCCATCATGCCCAGCTAATTTTTTGATTTATTATAGAGATGAAGTCTCGCCAAGTTGCCTGGGCTGGTCTCAAACCTGCAGGCTCAGGCAATCCATTAGCCTTGGCCTCCCAAAGTATTGGGATTACAGGCTGAACCACCGAGTCTGGCCATTCCCATTAAAAAAAAAAAAAACCTGCAGATTTTGCAGTGGGCTTTCACTTTCTACTTATGTATTTGTGGTTGTAGTTGATTATTACTTTTATAATAGTAAGTCAAGTACAATAAGAACATCTGTTTTTGAAAAAGAAAGGTATTAGCAGGAGGAGCAAACATCCCCTTTAGAAATTGTAACAATGTTTCTGTGGCAAAAATCATAATATCTTCTAGAATATATAGATTGGTGACTGGTAGAATAGACTTGGATACAACTAAAGACTTTAGGTTCGGTCACAGAAATCAAAGACAACTCTGAGAAGAATAAGATTCTGTATTTTTCATGGTTTTTGTGATTGGTCATGATTGTATTCTTCTTTACATTGGTACCATTTAAAACATTGTGTTATTGTGCACTGCTCAAAAAAATTCAAGAAGACAAACAAATGGAAAAATACTTATAGATAGGAAGAATCAACGTTGTTAAAATGTCCATCCTAACAAAGGCAATCCACAGATTCAATGCAATATCCATTAAGTTACCAACAACATTCTTCTCAGGCCTGGATATGACAATAAAGAAATTCATATGGAAACATAAATGACCATGAATAGTCAAAAGAAACAAAGAAACAAAGCAGGAGGTATCACACTTCCAGACTTCAAACTTTAATATAAGGCTACAGTAACCAAAACAGCCTGGTATTGGTACAAGAACAGGCATATAGACCAATTGAACAGGATAGAGATTCTGGAAGAAAAACCTCAATTTCTCAACCAACTCATCTTTGACAAAACCTCCAACAACCACCACTGGGGAGAGAAGAACCTTTTCAGTAAATGGTGCTGGGAAAACTGGCTGACCACATGCAGAAGATTGAAACAGGACCCCTACCTATCACCATACACAAAAATAACTCTAAATGGATCAAAAACCTAAATGTAAAACCTCAAACTATAAGAATCACAGAAAACACAGGAGATACCCTTATGGAAATTGGAACTGGCAACCAATTCCTGATCAGAACCATAAATGCCCATATCTTAAGAAATAAGATAGACAAGTAGGACCTCATCAAACCAACAAGCTTCTGCAAAGCAAAAGAAATCATCAAGAGAACAGGGAGACAGCCCACAGAATGGGAAAATATATTTGCCAACTGTATATAAGACAAAGGTCTAACATCTAGGATCTACAAGGAACTCAAACATGCCAAAAGGAAAAAACAGCCCCATTAAAAAGTGGGCAAAAGACATGAATAGACACTTCTCAAAAGAAGATATATGGGCAGTCCACAGACACATGAGAAAGTGATTAGCCTCACTCATCATCAGAGAAATGCAAATAAAATCCACACTGAGATATCACCTAACCCCAGTAAGAGTGGCCATCATTAATAAAACAACAAGCAACAGATGCTGGGGAGTACGCAGAGAAAAAGGAACACTTCTACAATGCTGGTGGGAATGCAAACTAGTGCAACCTCTTTAGAAGGCAGCGTGGTGATTTCTAAAATAATTCGAAATTGACCTACCATATGACCCAGCAATTCCCCTATTGGGAATATACCTAGAAGAACTCAAATCATTCTACAAAAAAGATACCTGCACACATTTGTTTGCTGCAGCTCTGTTCACAATAGCAAAAACATGGAACCAATCATGCTGCCCATCAAAGCTGGACTGGATTAAAAAATGTGGTACGTGTACACAGTGGAATATTATGCAATCATAAAAAAGGACAAACGTGGACTTTGCAGCAACTTGGATGGATTTAGAGTTGATCATACTCAGTGCTGTATCACAGAAATAAAGGACAGAGTACTATATGTTCTCACTCATAAGTAGACCTTGAACAATTATTATACTATAAGAAAGGGATTGGCAGTAGTGGGAATCTGTCGGGGAGAGGTGGGATTGGCAGTTGAGGTAAACTGCTGGACAGGGAGGGGCACACCTCATCAACAAGGGTACCTCCATAATCAACATTTGTGTACCTAACCCTGAATTGTACCCCACATCTTTATAATAATAATAAAAAATTATTGTGATAAGAACACTTAATTGAGATCTTGCCTCTTAGCAGATTTTTAAATGTATAATATTATATTGGTAACTGTAAGTACATTGTTTTCTTTTGCTTTGGGTTGCTTTAATATCCAGGTGGATGATGGAATCATTTTGGTGTATTTCTCTGAGTTTAACTATTCTCTTTAGTTAAACTAAAAAACTTGTTGCCAGCATTTCCTTGAGAAATTGTATTCATTTGTTTGATTTTAGTGGATAGTGCTATACAACAAATTTGCAACCAAGGCCTTTAAAAAAGGCCAAAAGTTATTTGCTGGGGCAAGTGAATATATTTATATTCTAGCACATTATATTTATTCTTTTTTTATGCAAAGTAACTCTTAGAACACTGATGTTGCCCATGACTACCATTTCTAAATTTCACCAAATGTCCAGGTATATAGCTGACTTATTTACTTTATCTGAATGTATGGCAATTCCTTGATGTAGTCATTGTGTGGAAAGAAAAACTAAATAATGGAATAGGTCCTTTAAAACAAGGAGCCAAATGAACTGTATAAATGGAAACCTGAATAGTAGTCATTACAATTCAGTGATGGATTTTTGGCTTCAGTGACACACAGAATCCTTCCTAGGAGATGCTTTTGGTAATGGAGAAAGACAGTTTTGAAGAGAGTGCGGTTTTCTGGATTTGAAGTAGACATTGGTGCTTTCTACTGCTGTATTAGAATGTTCATCTTTATGAAAGGAATGAAATAATTTGTACCCAGCCTGTGTTTGGCACTTTTCTTTTTGTGAAAGGCATGTAGTATTAATTCTAGTTTAGCTATCTGGATTGGCAGAGAAATCCTACAAATGGAAAGAACCCAAAATTTCTTTCATAGTAAAAGGTCCAATGATTCGTAAGTCATATACAAGTGTCTTTGGCTCATGAATAGTATTTTCTTTGGGTTCCACATGTTCATCTCTTTTTAAAACGTGTCTGAGGGCTGGGTGCAGTGGCTCATGCCTGTAATCCCAGCACTTTGGGAGGCCGAGGTGAGAGGATTGCCAAGTTCGAGACCAGCCTGGGCAACTTGGTGAAACCTCATCTCTACAATAAATCAAAAATTTAGTTGGGCATGATGGCGCACGCCTGTAATCCCAGCTACTTGGAAGGCTGAGGTGGAAAGATTGCCTCAGCCCAGCAGGTCGAGACTGGGGTGGCCGTGAGCCTGCCACTACACTCCAGCCTGGGCAACAGAGTGAGACTCCAACTCCAAAAAAAAAAAAAAAAAAAACCCAACAAAAAATAACTTGCTTGATAATCAATCAAAAGTTCAAGTGCACTGTTTAACGATTTTAGTTCAACTTCCTTATTTTGGACAGACCAGTCAAAACAGATAAAAATGAGCATAGCTCATTATCTCAGGTACCGAATTATATTCCCTGAGGAGTTGAGATCTTATGTTCAGAAGGTACAGTTGTGCTTCAATGTAGTTAGAACTTACTATGTGAACTCTGCAAAAAATGAAGCATTTAAATAAAAAATATCAGCCGGGTGTGGTGACTCAAGCCTGTAATCCTAGCACTGTGGGAGACTGGAGTGAGAGGATTGCCTGAGACCGTGGGTTCGAGACCAGCCTGGGCAACTTGGAGAAACCTCATCTCTACAATAAATTTAAAAAATTAGCCAGGTGTAGTAGCTTGTGCCTATAGTTCCGGCTACTAGGAAGGCTGAGTTGGAAGGATCGCCTGAGCCCAGCCGGTCAACCCTGGGGTGCCTGTGAGCATGCCACTGCACTACAGCATGGGAGTCAGTGAGACTCCAACTCAAAAAAAAGATTTTTAAAATGTAGGAAAAATACTCTAGCAAAATTTTTGAAAACTGTATACATTTAGTACTATTTCTAAAGTGAAAATAACAGGACAGGTCAAACTTTATGATATCAAATATTTTTATAATCAACATTGTAAAAATATTTCTACATGGGTATGTATAATTTCAAGTGATTCAGTATAGT